GCCTCTCGCCCTATGACAGCTGGGATAGGCTCCAGCGCCCTGAAAAGGATAAGCGGAAGCGAATGGATGGATGGATAGTCTGAATGCAACGAAAGGCAAGGAGAAAGACATGAAGGGAGCAACATTTACAGCTCTAACGTGTCCGTTTCATTTTTCACCGCAGTGGCATTTGCACAATGACACCAGCGCTGATGGAAATAAAATGCACGGCAATAAAATCAGAGCAGCGCGTTATGTAGACGAAGAGCAGCGGAAGGTCAGACCCGTGGAGAATGCAATAAGGAGTAACAGGTAGCAAAAGGGGGAGGAAATCTGGTGTAATGATGAGAAAAGTCAACCCACATCTACCGACTTTATTACAGGGAAATTGACTACATGACTCGTCCCGGTCCCGGTAACCCCGTCACGAGGCTTCCTGCCACGCGGAGCACGTCTTTGTGGCGTTTGGTAATTTAATTTATCCAAATTAATCAGGCCTTATTACTGACGCTTTGATCTCGGAGCCAAAGGAAGTGGCCTCTGTATCTCTTTGTAGTGCTACGGTTAATGTCAGCACGCTGGAAATGAAAGGTGCAACCGTAGTCCAGGTGTCTCTATAAATCAGCGACTGAAAGGTAAGGCCGTGGTATCTCAGGCTTTGAAGATGCTGGTGTTGTTCGGTCAGATGGCAGCATATTATGGGGCGCGAGCGACAGCCAAGAGGCTGGGAAAACAGCAGGTTTATTGCCGGATTCAAGCCAACGCTCAATTATTTACCAAAGACCAAAAATATGTCAAATCAGTCTTTTATTTCAAACTCCAGAACAGACATTTATAAGAACAGACAGAGAGAAGAAGGATATTACGAGTCAGCGCGATGACGCAGAGTCAGCGTTGGTATATCACTAAACAACATGTTGATGAAGTCAGCTGTTTCCGTTCGCCGGGGACTTGGCGGCGGCCTGCAGGGTCCTGCGGGCCATCTCCAGCGCTCCTTCCTGGGTCTTGTTCCCGCCAACAAAGCCTCCGGCGTGGACAAAGATGCAGCCCTTGATCCCGCTGAGCTCCGACAGCGCTTCATCCCGAACACCGCGCCACTCTTCTGGCAGCGACAGCCTGGGACAGGAGCACAGAAGGGCAGGTTGGTTTACAGATGGACACTCTGTGGTCTGCTCATCACTTCATGTCGCGCATTAGCTTTGCAAAAACAAAATGTACTGTAGATTATGAAAAACAGCGAACTCTGGAGTTTTTAGTGATTACTAAAGTCATTTTACAGACAAACAAAATATATTTGCACTTCTTAAACTTTTAAAATTCTCCGTGGCTCATATGGTACTCAAGTGAAAATCTGCTTCACAAAACAAGAAATATGAACGTGAACTTTGAGCTTTAACAAAGTCCTAAATATAAACCGACTGAAAGCATGAAGACATTACTAGAATATTAATCAGCAAAAGCTCAGAAAAATGCATCTTTATATGTATATTAGTTGGTTGTAGCTCATTTCTTTCATAATTTCTGAATGTTTTTGCACAAACGCTTGGATTACTCTCCTCCTTTCAGCTTCCATGCCTGCAGGGGTAGTGGTGCTATGTGCAGCCACTCTTGCGCACAGCACCACTATAATGGGCACCGACAAATAGACCAATAAAATAAAAAACAAAAAACAAAAAAACACAATCAGCTTTATTCTCCTCCACCAATGTGGAAAATCACACCTTAGTGCAGCGACTGCAGAGCCCGATGGTAGCGGAGTGGAGTCAAAAGGCAATCTCACAAAGTGGGGGAAAGATTGGCTGTGCGCTGGTTTACGAGCCGACCTCAAAAACGCGTCTCCGGATGAAGCACGCAGAGAAAATTCATAAAAATGTAGAACAGCTCATTTACCACCTACTGCAGGTAGCATGCATCTTACAGCCTCGCCAATCACGCCTTACCTGTTATGTAGCGCGTGCGTTTATATCACTCTTTCCTTGACGGGGTTATTATCTCCATTATCTCACACCC